TCCGGAGTTAGTGAACTCCGAGCAGGTAGTCATATCCAAATGGTATCACCTTTCTGCAACTAAAGTGTAGATGGATGACTTGGCAATTGTTGAAATTGAGCTGCAGTAGCCACATTCTACACCTATTTTCCATACGATCCAAGTCACTTTGTGAGGTCTGTCCATCCTCCGAGCTTTCAATTGACTTACAAACCTTTAGATCGTCTGCAAGCATGACTTACTCATTAGCGAGGCAGTAAAGACAGTCGTTCACATATACCATAAATAGAGTGGGACCTAAAATGCTTCTCTGCTGAACCCCACTTGAAACGGTTTTCAATTCTGTCTTGGTGTCTCCAATACAAACACGCTGACGCTGGCCTGTAAGAAGGTCGGCTAACAATTTGAGTAGATTTCTAGTCAAACCCATTTGATGCAGCATTGATATTAGTCATCTGTGTGGAACCTTGTCAAATGCCTTGTTGAAGTCAATGTAGATCGCATCAGCCGACGAACCCATTTCCAAAGAATTTATTCAGCTTTCCACGGATGTTAGCAGGTCAGTAAGACAAAATCGGCCACTTCGGAATCCGTGTTGCGCTGTGCTTAGCAAGTTATTCTCCACAATGTGTCTCCATTAGTTTACAACAAATGCTTGTGAAACTAACTGGTCTAAAGATAGTAGGCGACGTTATATCTCCTCCTTTATGAATAGAGGTTATGTTGGCCAGTTTTCAATCAGTGGGTGGAGCCCCCATCTCCATCAAACTTTCGAAAATCTCGGTAAGCGGGGATACCAGTTTTTCTGCGAGCTCATTCAGAAGTCTCGCTGGTAAACAATCAGGACCAGGTGATTTAGCGGGCTGTAGTCGTCTCAGGGCTTTTCTTACTGTGTCTGTTGCGAACGACGCCGTGCTAATTGCATACACACCTGAGACAATATATCATTGTACACTCTCGTTAAAAGGCGGCTCCTCGGTATACACAAACATAAAGAAGTTAGACGAAAGGCTTGTCTTATCTGAGTTGTCGGTAAGCTTGTTTCCTTGGTTATCCTTCAGACAAGAAATGAAATCTCGATAGCGTTTTGCCTTATTCACGTAGGAAAACATGTTGGATTGTTAACGAGTCCTTTGACTATTTCTGTCCAAAAGTCCAATCGTTCTTTTCGTAGTAGATTTCGATATATATTTCGCTGTTACTTAAAATCAGAGATGTGTCCGGGTTGATGCGACGTGTTTTCTCGCAATTTAGAAGCACTATACTACTTCTTAGTCTGCGCTTATGCTATTAAGTCAAACGCGTTTCCTACGATATTTTCTTTCGCAAAAGACTCAATGCATTCGTAGAGCATTCTCCTGTGCTGTTCCTTAACCTCATACTGTGGCTATTTTGTCACAAATGCCTTGTGCTGCCTTTATCACGTGTTCTGATTGTTTGGAAGTCAGCTAGCCTGAAAATTATGTTTACG